GTGATCGACTGGGGAACCGACCGCGGCGTGCCGGACGAGCGTCGTCTTCCCATTCTTCGTCACCATCATCGGCGCAATACTTTTTTCATCCAGACCTGGCGGCTCGCCGATCGCTCCTGGCGGCTCATAGAGCGGCCCGATGCGACGAATGTGCACTGAAATCCTTCATTATGGCCAACCTCATATTGAATGCGCTCAGAGAGATCACTAACGTCTCGCGGGCTTCCCCGCAAAGGGTCATCATCGCTCAACTCCATGTTTGTCGGATTTCCAATGACCCGAGGATCAAGCATCAACTGTATTTCCTCTTCTGTTGCAGGAATAATGGCTTCTGAATCCGCGGGCGCCCCCGCCATGTCGGCGTCTTCTGCGGCGGGCGCGTGGAAGTTCTCGACGCATTCAACGTCGGCAGGTTGCCCCGCGATGGGTATGCCCAGCCAGTCTGCCAGATCGATATCGCTGTGGCCGGCGAGTACCTCCTCGAATAGCTCGCCGACGCAATTCCGAGGGACATATTGGCACTCAGATATCTGGCAGCCATGAAGTGAACAGCTGCAGCTGAGCTATCGGCAGGGTCAGCTAAACGAGACTCCCAGTCAACGTGCTGTACGTCAGAATCGGTTTGAGCCAAACATATCGACGGCCCCCTGCCTCTCCCATCGCCATGGGGGCATTCGCGGCGAAAGTGCTGCGTGCTATGGCATATGGTGCACTCCATAGTCTTACGATTGGCATCCTTCGGGTTCCCCCGACGTCCCTCACCTTTTCCTGATGCATGCCTGCGTTTCCTGCCTGTGCCCAAAACATATATCTTCATGCTGTGGCCCAGCAAGTGGTGCTAGGAATGCTGATACGCCTCTGCCATATAATCGCCGACGCTTACCTTTACCCTTACCTCGGCCCTTGCCTTTTCCCTTGAATGCTCGTCGTGCGATGCGCCGTACTTTCCGGGCGGGCTTCTTCATGAACCGCCTCCATCTGCGCTTATGTTTTTGGTATCCTAAAAATAACCATTGTGCCTGTTGCTCTTCCGTGAGGTATGTGGGCATATCGGAGTAGTCAAAAGCTGTGGCCCCATCATCCGAAGACGCATCGGCGTCCGTGCCGGAGTCGAAATCGGACTCGGCAGGTTGCCCCGCTGAGCCCATTCGGGCCATGGCTTGCGTAGGGGATGCCGCGTCGGGCGGCCCCCGGAACCTGGCTCGCAACTTGCGACCCCGAGGCCGATCCACCGTTCTGAGCCAGTAGTGTAATGGTCTCAGTTGGTTGTGGATCGTTATTCCAGACGTTAATTGCAGGTTACCCTGCGTTTGCTTCAGCGTGGAAGGTCTCGGTTCGATGACCGTGACTGAGCGTGCCACCAATGTTGCCGGGGGTTCTCTCAGCGATGTGTGCATATGACCTCATGCGTTCAAGTAAGGCGTCAAGCTGTTGCTGGTCTCTCGGCATGTGGTGGTTTAGTGGCTGTAGGAGATCTGTGCACGCGATGTCCCCTACCCCAAGAGCTCTGAATCATATAGCTGCTAAGATTTGGAAATTGGGGATGTCAAAGCCTGCCGTTTCTGCTTCATATCGGGCTATCTCGAAGCATGCTAACGTCTGGTCGATGCATTCTCCCGCGTGGACTCGGAAGTCAATGAGAGCTGGGCCAGAGTTGAGCTGGCCTTCCTCTTCTAAATTCTCGAACTTCGTGCTTAAGAGGAACATAATGCAGGTGGCACCGTCGGTGTGGCGGCCACCTATGTTAACGCCAAAGTTGATAACTGCTAGGGGGACTCTCATGGCTATGGTTCGTGTGAGACCTCCCAAACCTCGCTGCAAGGCTGCAGCTTGCTGGGAGGGTGTCATGTTGCCTGTGGTCACGTTGATCCAAGCATGTACCTCGCGGGCGAATTCGCGGAAAGGTACCTGGCCGGCCGGTCGTTCGTGTGTCGTCTCTACCACGCGTCCTACCGCGCACCCGATAGCGACCGATGTGCGCCCAAAGATAGTGACACCAATCCAATGACCTCGCAGGTCGTAGTCGGATGTAGTCGGTTGGGGCTTCCGACGTGTGGTGAGTCTGCATGGGGGTGGAGGCGGCACCGTTTCGTATCGCATGTTTCCATGCATTATGTCTTCGAAGATGTTTCCACTTGGAGTGGGTGGGTGGACTTCAGGAGTGTAGTAGTGCAGGGATGTAGGACGAAAGTCAGAGGCCTCCGCGTAAGCAGAGGCGTCACTGCAAGTGTCCTTGCTATACTGCGTAAGTATCCGCCGGCCCCCTTGTGGGGCCACCAGGCTGCGAGGCGCGTGATTCGCAGTTTCCTGTGCCAGTTGTAGTTTGTAGTTTCCAGTGTTACAGTTCTGCTTCTTGCTGGTTACTGTAACTAGTTGACTTCTTGCTGGTTACTGTAACTAGTTGATTGACCGCGCGAGGGGGGGGGAGGCCCAAACGGGATTTTTAGCACCCCCTGGGCGCGTTGTCTGAATTGTTGGGGGGGCTCGAAATCGACACCCCTCACGCAGATCCGCGGGGCCAGGGTCAAAAGACACAGGGGATTTGCCACATTTCTGAAATTCGGTGCCACCCCTCACGCAGATCCGCGGGGTCAGGGTCCCAAAACACAGGGGATTTGCCACATTTCTGAAATTCGGCGCCACCCCTTACGCAGATCCGCGGGGTTAGGGTCCAAAAACATAAGGGATTTGCAACATTTCTGAAATTCGAACCCATCACGCACATCCATCGCAAGGCGCGGTAACCCAAACTGCGAGAACTCCCTCGGCCCTTTCATCGCAAGGTGTGGTAACCAAACCCTTAAAACACACACGTCTTACCAATCGCCAGGTGTGGTAACCCCTCTTGTGATCAGTTGGTTTTGCTGATTGCGACTCGGCTTCGCATGAAGTTTCGATACTGCTTCACGACAGCGCCAAGGCCTCATGACTTAGCTCTTCCATGGCCCATTCTCCGAGAGAGGGGGCCGGCGACAGGGGGCGAAACCCTTACGGATATACATTCCTCCGCGCAAACCCACTGCACCCTGATGTTCCGCCACGTCTGTAATCCACCAGATAGTGCCGTGGATGGTGAGGAGTAGAGCTAGAGCTGACCACCACAGGCCAGCTCCGCTACCAAGTTTGAAAAAGGGGTTGGGAGGCCCAACCAGCAGCTTCGCCTCAGGCGAAGCCCAGCCCCAGCTCTGTTGTACCGTAGTAGCGATCGTCCCAGTAGTAGAGGGCGTGCCATCTTAAGCAGTAGGAAGGTCCTTTGGGTCTCGATGACTAATCGTATGCCTCACAATGAGGCACAATCACATCTGGGCGGCCGGCCGCTTGAGCCAACGCGGCAGCGGGCACACGCTCGCTTCTGCTCCTTATGTCTCTCAGCTCGCTTTAGAATCGGGAACCCAAACATGCCATCATTGGCTTTGGCCTCCTCGGGCTCTCCTGGAAAGCCTCTTGGAGACCTCTTGGGCCGTCTTGGGGGCCTCTTGAACTGCCTTGAAGCTTTCTTGGGAACCTCATGGCGTCCAGGACGGCTTCCAGGGCAGCCAAGGTGATACCAAAACGATACCTCAAGACAGATCAGGAAACCCCCAAGACGGCCGAAGAGGGCCCCGAGAGGCCCTCCTGGAGAGCCCGAGGAGGCCAATACCATTGATTCCCATTAGGCTTTTGAAGGTTTTCATATTCTCGCCTGTTCGGGTTCCTAATCTCCCAAGACGGCCCAAGAAACCTCCAATGGGCCTCCAAGGTAGCTCCAATATAGCCCAAGGAGCCCCCAAGACGGCCTCGAATCGGCCCAAAGGGTCCAACAATCGCCCAACAAGCTTCGAAGAAGGCCCCAAGACGGCCGTGAACCGCTCCACGAGGGCACCAACACAGCCAAGAGAGGCCCCCAAGGCGGCCTCCTTAGGCGTTAGACGGGCCAATAATCCCCTAAGGTGACCGAAGTGGCCCCGAGAGGCCCCCAAAGAATACACAGATTCAGCTCCACAAGAGAGTTGGGGATATAGTGATGGAGCGCAATGCTTTTCAACATCTTTGCGTTGCTGGCTGTGATTCGTATGAGCGCTCAATTTGGACTGTGATCAACGGAAGGATTGGGATCTACTCTTGCCGTGTGGCTCAAGGAACGTCGGCGCTGCGGCGCCACTTACCCCACTCGGTGCCTGAACGAAATTCGGATGCTATAGTTTATATACCGGGAAGCTGGATGCACGCGACCTGCAAGAGGCCCCACGAGGCCCCCATGCGGCCCCAAACAAGCTGTCAGGAAACTCCCAGGAGGCCCTCAGGAGGCTCCAAGAAGGCCCCAAGAAGCCTTCTCCTCCTCATCCTCATTTCCTCCCTCTCCTCCTCCTCCTCCTCCTCCTCCTCCTCCTCCTCCTCCTCCTCCTCCTCCTCCCTACCACGCGGACGAAGACGAGGCCAAGATCACGACCCATCCCAATCACGGCTTCCGCGTGTGCCAAACGTCCGACATGTCACATCTGGCGGTTTCCGAATCCGTCCCACGCCCGACATGTCACATGTGACGCTTTCCGCGTCTGACCCACGCCCGACATGTCACATATGACGGCATCGGCGTGTGACCCACGCCCGGCATGTCACATGTGACGGCTTCAACGTGTGACAATCATCCGACGTGTCATGTGTGACGGCTTCTGCGTGTGACCCACGCCCGACATGTCACATGTGTCAGCTTCCGCGCGTGACCAACGTCCGACATGTCACATGCGACGGCTTCCGCATGTGACCCTTGTTCGTCGGAATTGCGCTGTTCCTACACTCAGCCTCCTTCCTGCTACGCTATTGCACTGGCACGGTGGCGGGGTTTGCCGCATGCAACTGAATAAGAATACTTGCTCGAACGAATCTAACGGAAACGCCATCATCCTCTGTGGGCCCTGCGAGAGTTACACCATAATCCGCACTGGCAGCAAGAGCATTATGTGGATGGGCGTCAAAGAAAGGGTAGCTTAAGCGTAGAATAGGTTGGACCGTCAAAGCTC